GGATACTTATTAAAATGTAAGAGATTAAATTCTAATGAGCACACTACAGACCTCTTCTTGAAAGGGCTTCCAGGAAGGGATCACTATAAGAAAAAAAGATTAAATTCATTTTCCAATCTATAACAAGCGGCAGAATGTAGTACGTAGCTGTAATCACCTACATGAATAACCATAAATTAAGTAGTGTTTCCCTGGTTAGCCAGCCATTTATCCCCTAAACTGCTATGCATGAGCAGGCAGAAAGTCTGCATTTTTCCCCAGAATGAGTGATTTGGAGACTTTGCTATATATCAGTCTTAATGGTACTTCTTGTATATAAGTACTGATGGATTTACAATAAAAAGGATATCGGGACCTTTGTCAAGCTTGTAGATAACCTGTGGGAGAGGATACACAATGCAAACACCTTCTGCGTTGCTGTACAGCCAGAAAATGACCTGGTGGGGGGAAGACAGCATTGCAGAGCCCGGTGGTAAGGCTACCGGATCACAGAGATCCTCAGAGGAGAACGGGCTGTGACCATCATTATAGTCCTGCCCAGGAGTGAAACGTTTTATACTCCCAGCTTTCTCCAATACTGTTAGCACCTAGGCTGTGGATTCAATGTAGTAAATGAAATTCTGTATCCATGGTAAATAATTCACTCTCAGTCAAAATTAAAAGAGGTTTTCCTGGTAAGTTCAATATGAGCAGAACAGAGCTCCTAATACAGTTCTTGACCAACTTGAGAGGGGGAACATGAAAACAAACCTGTTTCCTACAGATCAGGAAATACTTGTGGATTATCGTTTACTACTAAAAAGATTAGCACTGATTTGGGCACATTCAGAAAAGCCATTAATATACTTGCAACAAAAAATATTGTAGCGAGGTAAAACGTATATTAAAGCTAAAGGTGATGAGTACTGTAAAAAATGAAAGTCAGAATTAAAACATTTTATAAGAATTGTGATGTAAATATCCTATTTCCCTAGTGCATCATATACTATAATGTCAACGATACAGTAACATGCTATTTAGTAACACAAGGCAATAAAATACAATTGATGGGGAGGACCTTTTAATTGCCAGCATTCAAGCTGAGTATTATTGTCAATCTCCTATAAAACCTGTACTCCCAAATTATGAACTAATTTTTGCCAAGTGATATAACATAATTAAACTAAAAACAGTACACAAAAACCGTTACGATAACCAGGTGATCAAAGGTAAAGCAGTTATTTACATTACATTACTGTTCTCCCCTCACACCAAACAAATAATTCAGAACAATTTAGTTGAGAGGAAAGTAGTGAAGTGGACATGAGGTATATTGCATTAAGATGAAAGAAAAATATAAAAAAAATGTAGATATGCTTTTGCAGTGCTGAAAGCATTATAGGAAAAGGAGCAGGAGTATGTGCTGTATTTACAGGGGATAAAAATAGTGTACTACTAATGGAAAGGTGAGCAATAAACAACATGAAAGGTTAGGCGAAGCAAACAGAATGCAAGAGACGACAAAAGAGTAAAGTAAAATTGGAAAGAAAAATAACAATAACCTGGAAAATAACCATGCCATCGCTTCACCAAAGTTGAAAGACACCCTCACCCTTTTTTTTTTTTCTTGTTGGACTCCATGCAAGTAAAAAGATACAGTTATTTGCCTACAAGCCATGCAATCCAGCATGAAGTCCAAGGCAACAGACAAAATGAATGTAGTGCAAGAAACGGATAGAGTAATGGTGATACGCTCGTACCGTTTTATGTGTTGTGCTACATCAGTCGATTGAACTGAAATTCTTTAAACTATTTTTTTAAAACTTGACTCTAGATGAAAATGCAAGAAGGATAGTGATAAACTTCAGCCAGTCCAGCAGAGGTTGGGACAGGTTGCCCAGAAAAGGCTGCGGGTTCTCTGTCCCCGGAGGTTTTCAGCACCTAACTTGGAAAAGCCCTGAACACGTCGATGCAAATTCAGCGCAACCTTGCTTCAGGCAAAAACTTGGACTAGATGCCTGCCGTGGGCCCTCCAGCCACAGTGAGTTTGTGATCCCTTAATTTTGTACAAGCTATGATTCTGTACTTATCGCAAGCACTATCTCACTAATATTAATTAGCAGATGTACTTTTGTAACTGAAATGTGCTTTGAGAAGAGATTTGCCTCCAATCTACGAAAGGTATATAGGAATTGATGAATTTAAAACAACAGAATCAATCAGAAATGGTGAGAATAGATAGCCATGAATAGATGGCATGATTAGGAGGGGGGGAAAAAAGCCGAAACACAAAACAACCAAACAAAGAGGAGATACGGAAAAGCAATGAGTTGAAAAATTAATTCAGTTACTTCTTGTTACGTATGAATTAAACATATATTTATAGTAGTATAATTCCACTGATTGTGATGATGCGTGATATCTCTTAAAACAAAAATAGTGAGATGCATAACATTTACATTCAAGATAGCCTAGCTTTTCATCAATAACTATTTTGTACTAACTTTGCAGTATGTATAATTTTAAAATTTTGACTTGTCTTTCCAATTCTTACATCTTTCATCTACTCTCTGCGCTTATTCTTTCAACTCCCAACCATATCTCTTAGCTTTTTTTCCTATCTGGGTACAAAGTTGTTGTAAAAGACAAAACATAAAATAGCAGAATAATGAAAGTGGATGTCCCCTCTGGTGAGATCTAGATTTCCTCAGTGGAGAATATATGACCTTCTTTCCTTTTTGACACTTTAAAGCTTTCTTTAATAATGTCATTTCAGCCTAATTTTATACAGTCAGGGCGTTAGATGTCTTTTAAAAGTACTCCCACCTTTTATTGTTTTTAGCAACCAATTAGTTCCCAGCCCAACTAGTCCCAGTTGCTCAGCTGTATACTGGGGATTTGGCAGGTATCACATGCTGGAATAAATCACTTGCCTTCTGCCCCTTGCAGTCTTAAAATACAACTCAAAACAGAGATGTAGATGTGTGGAGTGACAACGGAAGAACCAAAACAGCAAAATGCATCTGTTTGTTTACCTCTTCTTATAGTCACCCCATGTAAACCTTTCTAATGCCAGGATGTTGTTTTTCTGGAAAGAAGCAATCATTTAAGGAATTTTGTAATTAGGAAATATTTCTACTACTACTGCAGGTTAATACTATGCTTTCCTCTGCTAGATCTGATCGCATTTAATTATCTTCTGTCCTTGCAAAGCCACTTGATGATGTGACTCTCCTGATGATAAGAAGGTTGTACACAGCCAGCAGAGGTCAAGCTCCCAACAGTCACATAGTACGTCAGTGGTGCCGGTTGAAGTGAATAGAATTACTTCTATGTACTTGAAGTTTGAGCACATGGTGAAGCCTTGTTTTTTGTCTTTTTTCTCTGCTCTTTTTTATTGAGGTCACTTTGACTGTTTCATTCTATTTGTGCTTTCAATCTCCATTTTTTTACTGAGGACATTGTGGGCCGAGCAGGAATTCCACATTTTCAAGTGGCATACTGAAAAGTGATTTCCTGCTTAAAAGTTTTCCTCTTTATTAAGTACTTTCTGGAATACATCTTAGTTTGTTCATATACAGGATGACTGAGACTACAAGGTAGTTCTGTTTCCTGCAGCCACTGGCAGAGGCTAGATGATACCTAGGTAGCCTAGGTACCATATCTAGATATAAGTCTAACTTTAGGGCATAAAAGCCGTTAAACTGAAATGCTATGTGTCTGACTACTCATGAAATAATACCCACAGTAAATCATATAAACAAACAGATCAACAGTACAGAAACATTCTTTTTCTCCTTGAATAGTTTAGTTACCACATTATTTGGTGGGCTGAAATGCATTTCCCTGACAAAATGGATTAAAATCATAAAGCTGTAAGAAACGCCCGAGTATACTGCCTTTCATCTTTCTGTCCAATCACCCAGTTGGACAAATGGGGCTTGTAGTTACTTGCCTCCTCTTTAGCTTATTTGCCCAAGGCAACAAACCAGAGAAATTACAGGTAACAGTTTATCAAACGCTTGTGGTCAGTTAACTCTCTCTCTACCTGTCACTAGGCATCATTTTATTAACAGAACCTTGACCCAGGTGTGCTAGTAGCTTGAAAGGTCAGAAGGTAGGATGCAGCTGTCAAATAAAAGATGGATGATGTGCATTTTATGTTTTAAATGCACGTTAGCGTATCTGAGAGTGAACGTGCTAATAAAAGGCGACGTTATCAACGATATTGTGGAAGCCTTGTGAAAAGAACTCAGCAGTTTTACCATGTGATACGAATGGACAGGAGGAAAGACTTCACGGTTAATGTACAGGGGCTGTAAGTTTGCATTCGGATTTCCTGCGGTGGAAGTGTGCATCGGCACGGGACTGAATCAAAATCAACAAGACCGTGCATAACACACAGTTTGCTACACAAGCAAGCTTTAAGTAAGAATAATGACAGTTGAAATACATTTTTATTAGATATAAATCATTTATAAACCCATTTTAGATTTTTATATTGCTCTGTTATTGGTATAATAAATCAATTTTGTTTAATAGCTACTGAAATTATACATTTTAAAATGTACCCTCACATACATGAGGAAGGAATTTTCTCTTAACACGTGAAACTGTCCATAACGTTCTGTTGGTTTTTTTTTTTTAGTGAGGTAGAAATTGAGGAAATAATCTTAATCACAATTTAAATTTTCATTTAAAATTTTTATCAATTAACTAAAATAGGTATTTATATCATGAAAATTCAAAAATATTTAAGATTTTTTAAGACATCTTAATTTAATCTTTACCTTTTTCACTGTATTCAATGAAAAGTTGAATAAACAGTGTAAATACCGATGAAATAAAGGACTGCTTTCTGTTGTACACAATGAAAAGGACTGCTTACTGTCACTTTCATTTCTCTTAATGTCTTTTTTTTTTTTTTTTTTTCGTTTCATGCCCCAGCATTTAACTTTGTAGCAGTACAGGAAGCTCTTGAAATGAATGCATAACCAAGACAGTTTCCAGTTAAAAAAAAAAAAAAAAAAGAGAGGGAGAAGAAAAACTCAAATATATTGTGTTAGATGAGATTAAAAAAATCTTTTGGATAAAGAGACTGAAAAATGAGTTTATCTATGGATTCTGTTTGCAGTTTGTGTAATATTTTGTTGCTTTAGATTTTTATAAAATAATAAAGAAAATAAAAGTATAAAATCTGAAAAATGAGGTAAACATGGCCATACAATCATTACTGCACATTATTGAAAAAACAAACAAACAAAACCAACCCCAAACCTCCCAAAACCAACCAAAGAAACATACTCTTTTTTTTTTTAATAGCATTCACTGGTTTTTTTTAATAGTTTTATTATCTGTATAAAAATGCTTTGTGAAGTGTGAGGAAGTAAGAATTTATTCCAGGTGACTCATGGTACATGACCTCTGAAATGAACATACCTGCTTTACAGGTTACGTGTTGTTCACAGGCACCTTTCAAACTGTTTTGTGGGGCAGCAGCTTCTGACAGTTGCTTCCGTGATGGAGAAGATATGAATTTTCTTCTTGTTAAACACTGAGGCTTTTCTCAGAAAGCTGCTCAGTTTTGGTGCCCTCAGTTCAACTTCCACAAACGCAGGCCCCTCGCCCTGGATCGCGTCGTGTTCGTGAACGTGGCATCAGTTTCCCATGTCTAAGTGCCCTTCCCTCTTTTGCACAGAATTTTTCAAATGTGTTTGTTTTAAACGTGTTGGTGTTTTGGTAGGTTTTTTTGTGTTCCCTAGGCCTTGGATGGTCTAAATACACCCAGATCATTCGACAAATACCAATTTCCTATGAGTCTCATTTTCATGCTCATTTTTTCAACAGAACATTTTTAAGCCTTCTGAGCATTGCTTTAGCCTACCATGTATACAGCTCACTACAGTTTTTGCAGAAAAATAATCTCCTATTTTGCAGCCTGATTGGTTTTCATCCAAGTATTAAAATGCTGCTTTTTAGATAAATTTTCCCACCACATTTGATACTTCCGATCATGTCTCTCAGTCGCTTCTTTCAAAGATCACTGTCTATGACTTCCATGCTGCCATCCTAGTGCCTCTGCTGTTGCTGTTCTGGCCATGCGCTAGTGGGTTTTGTATAGACTTGTCCTCCGTTCTTCTCCATTAGCATCTCCTGGGATTTCTGTTCCTGCTCACTCTACGCCTTTGCTGTAAATCTAGTGTCATCCTTGAACAATCGCATCCATTTACATGGACAGTTAAGTGTCTGCCTAGAGGCACAAGTTAATTACTGTATTGTGTGTTATACAAATTAGTATTGTGTCTAAGCATCAATCCGCTTTTAGGACGGTATCTGTTGGGAGACATTCCTTGCTTGGTAACAACGGGCAAACTTTCCACTTCAGGCTAAATCTCTGATCAGCGATGTTATGAAAAAGAAAATAGAATGTATTTATATTTGATGTTATGCCCCTGTGCCTGCTAGTCTGTTGCAGGAAGAAAAAGACAGAGTCTACATTTTGTTCCTTGCTTTCCTTAGAGTTCATTGCAGTGTGTTAGTGTCACAAATGAGCGGAATGTACCTCACTCAAAAAAGAGAAGCAGCAAGATGTTTTATTGAGGTAAAATAATAATTTGATAGAATTCAGTGAATTCAATGGAATTTAACAAAGGTTAGCAGGGGTTTGCCGAGGTTCAATAAGTTTGATGGCAGGGTTCACCTTATTAATTCCTGCATGGAAGAAACATACAAACGAAAATTGAGTTAGAATTGAGTTAGAATGATTCACACAGGGACTGGAGACACAAAGGGTAAGGAAGACCCTTCTGTTGAGTCATAAGGTTGAGTGGACCTCCTTGCTTTCTAAACTCTTTATGGGGCCTACGTGTGGCTAGGTCTAATCTTAGTCTCAGACTTGGACAACGATTTATGTCCAATAGTTCTCTATACAAAGTTTATAATAATTAATACTGAGTAGCTACAGCTCCAGGAAGGCTCGCTTAGGCTGTTCTATTTATAGGATAAAGTGGCTGGCTTGTAGTCAAATTACATGCCGTAGAAAAGGTATGCAGGAGACTCCTTGTACCCACAACTTTCTTCGTTCCTTGATAAATGCGTCTTGGAAGAGCCACCCGCAATTCACGTGTCAATGGCGTGATCGGTGTGCCAAGCTCATGTGCATCGATGCCCACTGTGCCACTCTGCTCCTTTGTGGGTTTTCAGAGAACAGATTGAAACTGGAGGAGCTCATGGCCTGGCATGGCTCAGGCCTTTACCTCCTTTGGAGCCTGTACCAAACTACCACTAGTTTGGTTAAGGGGTTGAGCGTATCTGCCACAGTTAGTCTGCTGCCAGCATCCAGGGAGCAGGATTATTATTCTCGTCATGTGGATGTTTTCTTTCCTCCGCTGACTGAGCGCCACAAACTTGTCAGAGAAAAAGTCTGATATATTTGTACCTTTGTCCCTTTAAAATTCATTCATGGCAGGCGTTACATGTAGTCAACCAGGGGAAAATGTCTGTCTTTATAAAGAAATTAGGTGTGTTCCCCAAACAGCATTTCTAACAGCCAATTTCCCATATATTATTCTAGCTCTGGCTGTGGGAATTGCACGCTTGCAGACAGCTGTGCAATGATTATTCATGTTTCATATCTACAAAGCTGAACGTTTTGTTCCTATTCTGGAACAGCGTGGAAGACCTAGCTGGAGTTAGCTGGGAAATGACTTACGGTTTTAACTTGACCTGGAGGATCAGTGATCTTTGGAAGGTTGAAGGCCTCCAAAATCAACAAGTGTAAGAAGCGAAGGACAGGTCATGCTCATATTGAAGTCAGTGACGTAATTTCTTACTGTGTCAGTGGAATCAGTTGTACCACCAGCAACTGAGGGGAAAAAAAGAAAAGTAAAACACAGTAATAATTTTCTTACTGGAACATTTGAACATTTCTATTTTTAAGTTGAAGAAAGTTTTACTCCCATCTTTTATCTGGTCTTTCATTTTGGTGCTAGTGTAAACATCAGGCTTCATAATTTTTTTCCTTTTATGTATGTACATACTTTCTTCACGTATTTTCCAAAATTAGGGCTATTGTAGTGGTTTTTACAAATGAAACGGAAGAATGTGCACAGATGCCCTTCACGGGAGGAGAGTGAAGTTTTCTCTCCCTCCCCTTCTGGTCCAATAAACATTGATTTTTAAAATGTGGAACAGATCCCACAGGACACTAGAATATTCAGTAGCTTGGTAAATATGCAGTGATCTAGGATATGGGTTCAAATATTTGCTCCGCATCACGCAAGCAAGCATGATTTAAACTAAGATCTCTTTATTTTAATGCCTGTTTACCTGTTGGCTTCTCTCTCATTTTTATTATCAAGATGAGAAAACTGTGCTTGGGCTACCAAAGCACATCACCTGGCCAAAGTGAAGAAATCAAGTAAAGATAGAAGATAATAATATACGCTTAGGAGCTATCTAATCTGAATGTTCACATATGCTTTGTAAAGAGGAATCTTAGTCTGATTTTTAACTGGTTAAAGGTAAACTCTGAGTGCTCCCTCCCATCAGTAAGTGTGATAAGCCTAAGGATTTTGCTGTGTTAATGACAATAGTAGAGGTGCTAATGTGTTTGTTTATCAGAAACAATGAGAAAAGAAGTCGTTGCTACGTTGTGCCTCACCTTTCTTTATTACAGGTCAAGCAAAAGAGTGTATCCCTAAAGAACAGCCTGCTCTTGACCAGAAGGTGTACATAGGCGCTCTCTATGTGATTTAGCTGAGATGATGGTACATTTTTCGTGCGGACAGATGTGGACACATTCCTACACTTAACTTCAACCAGACATCTACGTCTGACCGTGAACTACTCTTTATAGGTAAAGCTGCGTGGGTTCATAAGCGTTACGTGACAGACGAAGGCTGGTAGGATGTCCTTTGTCGCCACAGCCCCTCGTAGCTCCCGTGAAGCTCCACGCTCAGCACCTGCCAGGGCCAAATCCCTTCACCCGCACCGGGAAGCGCCTTTACCTCCACTTGGACGCAAGTGGAGCTGAGAGGATCCCCGCAGCCGCAGGGAAGCTTTTATATTTATTTATTTGTTTAGTCTACGGAAGTTCGGGTGTTTATTTAGACAAGGAAAAAATTAATCTGAGTAAGGAAAACGGAGAGTGGAGGAGGCCCCGAGGTGCGCCTTCCCTGACCTGTGGTGGACGTTGCGCTGGCCCGAGGTGCGGGTCCGCCGCGGCGAGCGGCGTTTTCCACAGCGTCGCCGCGGGGAGATCGAGGCGCGGACCCGCGCTCCCCGCACGCTACCACTACGGCGCCTATTTTTAAACCGACCGTGGCAGCTGTTTCCCCCCTCGTCCCGGAGGCGGCTGCGGTGACGGCGGCCCCCACTCGAGACCGGGGAAGCCCGGGAGACGGTGGCGGGAGGGCGGGAGGCCGCGCTGGGCCGGGGTA